TAGCCGGCGTCGAGGCGAGAGCGCGCGGAAATGTTTCCAGAGATCAGCAGTAATTATTCTCTTGAAATGAGTATTCAACGACAATGCCAGCAACAACACCAACAACACCACCAACAACAACATCAGCAATAACAGCAACAATTACAGCAGCAACAACAGCAACTGCAACAACAGCAACAGCAACAGCAACAACAACAACAACAACCCCACCACCACCACCAACAACAACACCAACAACAACAGCGACACCACCACCACCAACAACAACAACAGCAGCAACAGCAACAGCAACAGCAACAACAGCAACAGCAACAATAACAACAACAGCAACAGCAACAATAACAACAACAACAGCAACAGCAACAGCAACCCACCACCAACAACAACAACAACAAGAACACCAACACCAACAACAACAACAACACCAACCAAGAGAAGAAGCATCCTTTCCGCCCAGCGGATGCGAAGGGACGGGGGAGGGTCCGGCGGGGAGCGCCCCTCTTGGACGGTGGGAGCAGTGTAGCTTCTGCGCTGCTCCGGAGGCGGAGGACGAGGCGAGAGGGAGACGGCGCAGCCGACTGACGGTACGGTCGCCAAGCACGAGCCCAGGAGTCGGCAGGCAACCCTTCCTCGGGACCGCCCTCGCCAGGGGGGGGGGGGGAGCTTCGGGACGGGCACGGCGAAGGGGGGAGGATGGGGCAGGCTCGGGGGAGGGGCATGCCGCCGAAGGGGGGAAAGGGGAGTGTGGCGTCCGCTGCACGGAATACTAGGGGGGAGGGGTCGCTGAGTCGGGCTGGGGACCTTCGACTGGACTGTACCTAGCCCCACCCCTCATTGAAACTGTTCGCCAGGAGCGCCGCGCGGGGCACTTTTTTTTGTTGCTCTCTCTCTCTCTCTTTCTCTCTCTCTCTCTCTCTTTCTCTCTCTCTCTCTGTATCTCTCTCTCTCTCTCTCTCCCTCCCTGTGTCTCTCTCGTTTGCGCTCTTTCCATCTCTCTTTCCTGCCTCTCTCCTCTCTCCCTCTCTCTCTCTCTATCTCCCTCTGCCTCTGTCTCTGTCTCTGTCTCTGTCTCTCTCTCTCTCTCCCTCCCTCACACTTCATTGATCTCTCTCCCTGTCCCTGTCTCTATATATCTTTCTCGGGTGTTATGACGGAAATCCAAGGTCATTCGCTCTGACATTCAGTCCACATCATCATCCTCCTCGCTCTCCTCCCTCCATCCTCCTCCTCCTCCTCCTCCTCCTCCTCCTCCTCCTCCGTCTCCTCGCCCTAGCATTCACACTCCTCCAGGTTCCTCTGGTTTCTCGCCCTCCTCGTGTATCTTCGCTCGCCTCACACTGGCAGAAGCCACCCTCACAAATCTCAGACCCCGTGTCGAAATCTCCAGATCCCCTTGCTGATGCCCCTACACCTTCCCCCCCACCCTCCTCAGCTCCCTCCCTCCCGCTCCGCACCGAAACGGCCCAGGGAACCTCCTCCCCCGGACCTCGACCTCGCTCACGAGCACGTCGAGCCGCGGAGACGAGGCAGCACGCCCCCGGAGAGCAACCGGCAGCCAATCGCTCTCTCGTCCCCCCTCGCACTGCATCCCATCCCTCGAGCTCGCCCTCGTCCCCAGTCTCCCCCCCCCCCCCGTGGTGCCCCTCTGGCGCCAGCGCGCTCCTCCCAGAAAGCGAGGCGCGGGGCGTCGACGCGGGACCCCGCGAGCCCGGCTGCCCCACCCCGTGGCGGCGGCCGGGCTCTGAGCGCCGGGGCTCCCAGCGTCCTCGAGCGCGGCCTGACCGACCCCTGGCAAACTGGAAGGCCTGGAAGTGGGCACCAACACCAATTCAGGGGTGTGCCTCCACAGGGGGAAGAGGATCCTAGATTTCGGTGTTGGTGGTAATATTTCGACCACCTTGAAGCCAGAATATGACCACCTTCACCGAGATCGGGATCTTCTTCCCTCGGTGGAGGCACACCGCCGATATTGGTGTTGGTGTCTACCTCTAGGCCTGCAACAAACCATCCCCTGCCGTGCCGTCATCCTCGCCTCTCGAGCTCCCCTCTGGCCGCACACGTACGTCTTTGGGCGAGGCGAGGGGGACTTCACGGAAAGGGATGGCTTGCTGGGGGTCGGTTATTTGGCTGCCCCGGACGTTCTGCTACCCCACCTCCTCCTGCGCCCCTTCTCTTCGGGCAAGATCAATCAATACCGAGACGGGAAGCCAGATCGGATCGGAACGTTCGTCGATCTGGCTGCATCGGCGCAGAATCGCGCTCGAATCAGGTCGGCTGCGCTGGGGCCCACAGCGGCGCCCCGCAAGCGTCGGGCCGCACCGAATGGTCGGAACGGGATGCCCCGAGCTGCTCGCGGAGGCGTCGAGGGGAGGGGTGGGCGCGAGGCGGAGGCCCCGCGGGGCCTCTGGCGTCGGGGAGGGGGTGGGTCCGCCGTCGTGCTCGTCGGGCACCCGGCTGCTGGAAGAACACGATCGCTCGCAGTGGGTGGAGCGGGTCCTGCGGGAGAGGGGCAGGTTTTGCGCCGTTTCCACATGCGAACCCTACCCCTACCCCACACGATTTCTGAGGGGGAGGGTGGGGTTCACTTCGTTCGGGAGGTCCCGAGCGAAGTGAACCCCACCATCCCCCTCGGGCCCTCGGGCCCATCGGACTCCAATGGGACCGAGCCAGCCGTAGTCCATAGCGGGTCGGAGCGGTCGGGCAGAGGTGGGCCCTGCCGGGCATCCGACGTGGTGCTTCTTGCAACCGCGTAGCCTCCTCGGGGGCCTCCCCTGCCCTACCCCTTCAGGGCGTGAGTGGCCCCGGGGAGACCCACAAATCTCTGGCGTCGAGCATTTTGTCGTCTGCATCTGGCCCGAACAAGAGCATGGGAGCGCCCTTGGGAAGGACCTGAGAAGATGCTCCGTATTTGAAGGGGACCTGACACACACACACACACACACACACACACACACACACACACACACACACACACACACACACACACACACACACACACACACACACACACACACACACACACACACACACACACACACACACACACACACACACACACAAACACACAAACACACACACACACTCACACACACAGACATATATATATATACACACAAATCATAGGATTCCCCACGTTGTCCCATATTTTCTGGGTTTCTGTCTTCCCCCCTACTTTCCATATTTTCCTATATTTATGGGGAATCGACGATTAATTGTGTCTGTGTGTTGTTTCCCCTCCTGGATATTAGGCTCAGTGCGTGTTTCGCTTTGCCGTGCAATGATATGGTTTGAGGCAGGCAGTGTAGAACATGCAATTTCGGGCACAGAATCTGGGATACACGGTTGCAGCAGCCGCAAAGCATAGCGGAGCTGGGGCCGCGCTGAAGCTGAACGTAGGCTGAAGCGGGAGCGGGGCTGGAGCTAGACGTGGACCTGGAGCACAGCTGGAACTGTAGATGGAGCGTGGGCTGGAGCTGAGCTGGGGCTGAGCATGGGCTGGACCTGGAGCTGGAGAGCAAGCTGTGAAGGAGCTCAGCTCGGGCTGGACTTGGAATTGGAGTTGGGCCAGAGCAAAACTCGAGTTGAAGCTGGGCTGGATCTGGAGCTGGGCTGGACCTGTAGCTGGAGCCCAGACGCCAGCGAAAGGAACTTCTGAGACCGCAGCGTTGCATCTCAGACTGACTTCGAGAAGTGCGAGTGACAGCGTCATGCAGCGACCCTGTGGGCGAAGCCGAGCGGACTCGAGAAATCGGCATCGCCGGTCTCAAAAGTCCCTTTCCCTGGGGTCCCTGTTGGAACGGCATGGTCCGAGCGTTCAAGTGGATCGAACTCACTCCCAAGAATGAAGCTCCTGAGACACATACAACACGAAGATTCGGCAGGCTGTCAGGACTGAATGATCAAAACCAACCCTGGGAATTACATTCAGGCAACACAACGTCGCGACTCAATCTGATGTTGCGACTGGCTGTGGAAAATACACCCGAAACAGGACATCAACCCCGAGATGGAATTCTGGGAATACAAAGATCTTTCCAGCTGAGAAGGTTACACCCAGATGATCATAATCAACCGCAGGAATGAATTCTGGCACCACCAAAAGTCCGGCCTCACCCACTGTTCCGGCCCCAACCTTTAGCAGACAATGGAAAACATCTGGGCCAAGCGCAGTAAAACGAACAAGTTCAGCGTCAGTGGCCTGGAAGGGCCCAAACCAGACCCTAATCAATAATACACTCGGGACGAAACAACTTGTCTATGGGCAAGGGTCGAGTTTGCTGGAGGCTCACGTTGCGAACAAACGTATCATGGCAACGGTGGTATGGGCGTCTCAACGCCTTCCCCGGGACCGAACTTACCCTGTGTCGTGTTCCGACTGCCCAAAGACCCGAAAACAGACTCCATACATCGGGAATTGCGAACAAACGCTGGATGAATATGACCAAGTATGAATTGAATTTGACCAAGTCACATGAGGTACGGGTCTTCCTCCTCCTCCGCCTCCTGTTCCTTTCTTCCCCCATCTGCTCCGTAGAGCGCCCCAGAGCCCCCTACAACAATATCAGAATCTCTGAGGCTCTTCGTCATGGTCCGCCTCCTTCCTCGACCTCGCTCTAGTTTCGTGATGTTCCTCCTCTCCCTGTTCTCCTCGTCATCCTGCTAGCCTTGTGACGCCCCCGTGTCCCTGAATGCGCAGTCCTCCTCCTCCTCGGAGCCCTGTAAATGCACATGCACAGAGCACATTCATTCTCGACTTGTTGAATATTCTGCTAATTTCACGCACCAGTGATACCCGACCCGACGACATTAGAGTATCAGAGTTGCAGCGAACACCACAGAAAAGGAAGCAAAAATACACTGCTCATCGGGGACGCACAAGACAAACGACAACCCCTGCTAAACCATGCAGCCTGCAACGTCCGGAGGACTGTGAACCTCGGAACATTTGCTGGCTAGGCTCGGATATGGACTCAACTCTCTTCTGCACTCTGGACGTAACTTTACCAGTCGTACGTCGCAGTACCATTCGCCGTTTGAGCGTTCGGACTCCCAAATTGAAAGAGGGCGGTGCGACGACGAAGGCATTCATCCAAGGGCTTCGCTGCCGCCGTGTGGTCATCCAGCCCTAGCAACCCTCCTACCAGAAAGGCAGAACGGCTGAGGTGTTTGACGTACAAATTTAAATACTGGATTCCCGTCTGTGTGCGCCCATGGACGACTTTCAGCTCCACCTTATCAAACGTCTCCCATGTCGGCTTCTCGTCGTGCACACCCTGAGCGAAGAAACGAAGACCGCCAGTATGCTTTGCCTCCACCCACGCGCCGGTGATGTTCAGTTCTTGGAAGTACATGTCTGGTGTGCACTGCTTGCCCATCTGCCGCGCGTCGGCCTCCACGCGCAGCAGCGCCCTCTCGAGGCGCTCCCCCCGCGGGATGTGGATCAGCACGTGATGCCCGGGCCTCATCAAGTCGAACTTCTCGCCGTAGATGTTCCGCAGGTGGGGGTCGCCCTTGTCGGGCCGGGCGAAAGGGGCGGATAGCCAAGGGGGGGGTGGGGGGGAAAATCAGCTCACGTAGCTGATTTCCCCGGCGCCTCCCGGCGCCAGAGGCGGCTATGCATCGAGGCATGGGCCCCTCGATGAGGCCGAAACCAGCTGCATATGCAGCAGATTTCGTACCCCCCCCCTTTCCCAACCCCCCCCTTCCGCCCGGCCCGACCTTGCCGCTCACCTCCTTCGACATCCGGGGTCCGCCGGCCGCGGGCGCCTCCCCCTGCGCCTCGCGCTCGGCCCCCGCCCTGCGCGCGGCCTCCTCGCCGGCCCGGCGCTCGGCCTCCGCCTCGCGCTCGGCCTCCGCCCTGCGCGCCGCCTCCTCCGCGGCCGCGCGCTCGGCCGCCGCCCGGCGCTCCTCCTCCGCCGCGCGTTCGGCCTCCCGGGCCCTGCGAGCGGCATCCGCCTCGCGCAGGGCCTCCGCCTGGCGCTGCCTCTCCTCGGCGCGGGCGAGCTCCTCCCGGGCCGCGCGCGCGGCCGCGCGCTCCGCCTCCGCCGCGCGCTCCGCCTCGGCCTGGCGCTCGGCCAGCTCCTGGGCCACGCGCTCGGCCGCCTCCTTGGCCTGGCGCTCGGCGGCACGCTTGGCCACGCGCTCGGCCATCTCCTTGCGCTCGGCCTCCTCCTCCTTGGCCGTCTGCCCGGCCTCCGGCGAAGGCTCGGGTGCGGCGTCGGCCTGTCCGCCGGCAGGCCCCGCGTCGGCGCCGCTGTAGATGTAGAACGCGACGTCGTCCATCTTCTTGTAGTTGGAGCAATTGGAGCCGCCGCTCACGCAGCGGCGATTGCTGGGGCCTGACCAACAATCCGTCGACCCATGCCCAAAGAAATAGCGACAGCATGTCTCCCCAGCGAGCGGTGGGCTTGTGTACAGTAGGTCTATGCCGTGGCTTGTGGAAGGCAGAGTCGCCCATCTCGACACCGACTCGTATGAGGACCCGAGCCCAAGCACGGTATTCTCTTTAGTCAGGCCGAACGATCGTTCGTCGTCGATGTACTTGTCGTTCGTCTTGACGTAGAGATCCGCTACAGGGCCGTGTCGTGGGCACTGAATCGAGTCTCCTCGTTTCCCGTAGTCAGTCGTAAATGCTGAAACTTAGTAGGGGCTCGACCACAAGAAACCTTCCACCAGAGACCCAACCCTGAGACCCCAGGGCCTGCATTGATTGTTGGTGTGCGAGCGCTACGCTTTCCGTAGCAAAACCACCGCAATCCAAGAACCCTAGGCACCCTGGAGGCAAGCAGGGTGTTTCTTGGCATGGGTCTCCACTGTATCAGTTTAACCGAACATGCAACCACACGACTCGCCGACGGTCCTGGGCGCTCCTGGGGCTCGTCGCGTGACTGCTCCCGAGACCCTGGGAGCGCGGGGGCCATGCTGACTACCTACCAGACCACCCCAACCCAACCCGAAGACCCGAATTTCGGGTTGGGGGGGGGTAAGGGTTCCACGTGTGTTTTTTCAATGTTTCCCGACCCCCCCCCACTGGAAATCGAGGGTAAATCTGAGCCTTCGGGTTCGGTTGGGGTGGTTTGGTGGGTGGTGACATGCTCAACCTTCGAACCACGGGCTCCAACAAAGCCCCGAGGCCCCGTCTCGGGGCTCTCTCTCTCTCTCTCTCTCTCGGGAACCTCCCGGGCCGTCCTGGAGGCCCCTGGAGCTGACCCGAGAGGCTCAGCTCGCGTGGACAGAACTCAGGAGGAACAAACAAAACAGACACAATTAATCGTCGATTCCCGAGAAAATATGGGAAAACATGGGAAGTGGGGGGAAGACAAAAACCCAGAAAATATAGGAAAATATAGGGAATATGTTTATTTGTGTGTATTTACTTGCATCCTGGGGCCCCTTCAAGAACACCTGTGGTGTATGAATGTCGCCAGCGCCAGGTCGGGCCTGTCCCCCATACAGGCGGACTTGGGGCGAAAAGAAAACATAGCCAAACAAGATCCACAACATCCGGTGCGGGCGCGGCCGCAAGAAACCCTCGCGAGAAACCCAGCCCTGAAAACCCGTGCGCGAGGTGCACCCGAGGGGAACCCCGGAGCATCCTGAACGCAGCAGCTTCTTCAAAGGCTGCGGGAAGTCGCCGCGCGGCGCGCGGAGCGAAAAAACCCAGGGTACCCTGACGAACAGAAGATGGCTCCTTGATGCGAGCCCCCACCGTAATCAAAGAGAATCCAACATTCGTCCCCAGACCGTTGGTAGGGGAACAAAAAGTGGCATAAACATACAAACTCGGAGGTCCGCGCGGATTTCTCGGTCCGGTCCGGGCGGCGCCAAAGGCGCCGCTGGGGGGCCGCGCCGATCCGAGAAATCCGCGCGGACCTCCGAGTTTTTATGTCTATGTCACTCTTTGCTCCCGTAGTTTGCTGCCTATTTTGGACGACTCGTCCTGCAGAAGGCGTGCCTCCTCCTCCTCCTCCTCCTCCTCCTCTTCTTCCTCCTCCTCCTCCTCCTCCTCCTCCTCCTCGTTCGTCCTCCTCCTCCTCCTCCTCCTCCTCCTCCTCCTCCTCCTCCACGTGCCAGACGTAGGCAGAGGGGGGCCCAGCCACTGGTCCTCGTCCAGGTCCCTCGCCCGTCTCACCGCGCGGCGTGCCTCCTCGGCGCCGCGAGCGCCACCGAGGTGCCCCAAGAGCGGCCCGAGGGCCCTCTGCCCACGAGGCGCCCACTGGGGGGCCCCCCGGCGGGGGGCGCGCCGAGAACGGCTGCCACGACGTGCCCAGGGAGGCCCCACCTGAGGGGCCTGTTTTTGGGGCCTGTTTTTTCCACCACCACCACCACCACCACCGCCATAGGTTGGAGGGGAAGGGGGTCCTCCTCCTCCTCCTCCTCCTCCTCCACCTCCTCCTCCTCCTCCTCCTCCTTCTCCTCCTCCACCTCCTCCTCCTCCTCCTCCTCCTCCTCGTCCTCCGTCTCCTTCGCCCCCTCCGACTGATGGTGATGGTGGTGGTGGAAGACAGGCCCTTCACCACCACGACGTGTCGGTGGAGGGGCCCAAGGGACCCTCCCCCAAAGGAGGGGGGCCGAGAGGGAGGAATCGGACTGAGATGGCCCGGACTCCCCAGGGGGGCGCCCTGGAACGGCGGCGGCCCCCCCAAAAAAAGGGGCCCCGAGGAGGCCCCCGGGCAGGCCCCCGCCAGGAGGCACCCGAGAGGCCCCCGAGCGGCCCCAGAAGACGTCCCAGGGGCCCCGGGCCCACGACTGACGCGAGCTGCGGGGTGGGCAGAGAGCCGCTGGATACTTCGAGCAGTCGGAGCCCTTGATCTGGTAGACGTGCGAGTAACCGTCCCGTGGCACCGCCTTGGCGTTGATGTCCGCGTCGGACAACTTTGCATGACTCGAACCCACTGCCGAATTGATGTCTCCGTAGGCTTCCACGGTCAGGGGGAAGGAAGACTCCCGGGACGACCTGGCTCCATCCTGGATCTGGTAGATCTTAGTCCATGGCTCACCCGTGATCATGCTCTGACTGCGAACGCCCTGGACCGCGGATGCGGTCGGCAGCCATAAACAAACAGAACCCAGGAGCGCAGACCTCGGCATTCTGGAATATACGTACTTGTTCAATCGCCGGACCCTGAAAGTAGTGAGTGCAGGTATGGTGCGGGCGCTCAGATCCTCACAGCAGGACCTGGGCCTGAATGCCGATGGCACGAAGGAGAGAGCAGGGGAGGGAGGGGCACAGCAAGGGCGGGCACGACGATGAAGATGGGGACGCGGGACAGGGGAGCCGTCCGAATGGTGTGCCCTCGAGTACGGGCTCTCTTTCGCCCAGGTGCTCAAAGACGGCTGCCCCGACATTGCTGCGCTCGACCCTGCGCGCGATGTGATGGCGCTCCCTCGCGCTGGCCCTCGACGCCATCCCAAGGATGTGCTTCTCGCCGCAGGTCGTCTGTGGCCGTTCCGGATCCCGACAACTGCCCCTGAGCCCCGCGCCCCGAACAACCCGCAAAACGCGGCCGTCGCCATGTTTCCAGTTTGGACGCCCGAAATGGGCACGGAAAGAATTGGCACAAGGCCCAACAACAGATGTTGTCCCAAACAAACAGCGGCCGCCGATGGGCAGGCGGCCTTCCGTCTCAAGCGGACACAGGCCGCGGCGGCGTGCACAGCGAGTCCTGTTCAGAATGAACCAGATCCGCTGTTGGGCAGTGTACCCATTCTTTCCGTGCCCATTTCGTTCGTGTAGATCCGGTGCACCAGAGCGGAGCTTGGGGGATGGACCGTGAAGGGGCCCTGTGACACACAAATAAATACACACAAATAAAACAAAAAAACATATTTCACATATTTTCTGGGTGTCCGTCTTCCCCCAAACTTCCCATATGTTCCCATATTTTCCTGGGAGTGGACGATTAATTTTGTCTGTGTTTTTTCCCTCCTGACTAAGGAGAATAAGGGGGAACACAAACCTACCTCGCTTTTGACCACCCTCGCTTCCAAGAGATACCAAGCGATACCAAACTATGGCCTGTACTGGCCAGGTCGCTTGACGAGGAGGCGCGTGGTATGACTTGGTTTTTCATGGAAGCGAACGCGGGGTAAGTAATTCACGCTCTGAGAGAAGTGGAACTGGAGGAGCAAGACACGGGTGCAGCCACCGCGCCACCAGACAGCCGCGCAGCACGAGAGCGCGCGGGCCGTTCTCGACACGGCGGGCCTCGGCCACGCAGACGTGGCCTCACCTGGCTCCCGGCAATGTCGGCTCGGGCGAAAGGGGGGGATAGCAAAGGGGGGGTTTGAGAATCAGCTCACGTAGCTGATTTTCCCGGCGCCTCCCAGCGCCGGAGGCGGCTATGTATCGAGGAATGGGGGTGAGGCCGAAACCAGCTGCATGCAGCAAATTTCGTACCCCCCCCTTTCCCAATCCCCCCCTTTCGTCCGGCCCGACAATGGCCCGAAACTACGGAGCCCACCCCCGGCCCCCAAGCGTTATGTTGTTCCCATCCGACTTCAGGACCGCATCCCCGAAATGATTTCGGGCACCCGGAAAAGAGTGTCAAAAGAGCGTCGAAACGGTGCCGGGCGAGTGTCCCCCAGGGCCCGGCACGTGAAAGCCCTTGAGTTGCGGCGCTTTTTTTCTGGTGCTGGAAATTCGTTCTGGTGATCACAAGGCTGAAGTAGGGGTGAGAGCATCGTGACCCGAGCGGTCCCTGCGTGAGCCAAAACCTTCCGGCGGTCCTCGCGGACACATCGCAGCTCGGCGCTGCTCCGCCGGCGGGCCCCGCCGTCGCCCGCGAGCGGCGCCCGCGTGACGGCCCGGGCCTCCCGGAGGACCTCTGCGAGCACCCGCCCGCCAGCGCGGCGCTCCAGCAGCGCCGTCGCCCCAACGCACCCCCCAAGGCCGCATGCCAGAGAGGCATCCGGGAGAGGCCTCCCGAGAGGTCCTCCCGGGCGTCGGGGGGGCCTCCGACCTGGAACCCGGGCACGGTGGCGGGTCAGGCCGAAGGCCACTGGATCCGCCGCCCCCTGTTGATTCATCACAGGGGTGCCTGGCGTGCTGGACCCTCTCAGGTTTTGGTTTTGGTTCTTTTTCCAAAAGAACTCCCCCTGGGGCTCCGGCACGTCCCGCCGATCCAAGACGGCCTCCAAGACAGCCCAAGACGGCGCAAGAGACCCCCCAGAGGCCTCCCAGACGGCCCAAGAGCCTCCAAGAGGTCCTCCAGGAGGGCCCGAAGAGGCCAAAATCATTGATTTTCCTTAGGTGTTTGACGGATTTTGGAATTTGCTTCTTCTCGGCATTCCGACGGCTCATGACGGCCCAAGAGGCCCCCAAGATCGCCCAAGAGGCCTCCAAGAGGGCCCTATGACGGTCCAAGTGGCCTCGAAGACGGCCCCAAGAGGGCTCCAAGACGGCCCAAGAGGCCTCCAACACGCCCAAGAGGGCCTCCAAGACGCCCAAGATGGCCTCCAAGACGGCCCCGAAGCGCCCCAAGAGGGTCCCCCGCTGGCCCAGAAATGCCCCCAAGACGGCTCCCGACGGCGTCAGACGTGCCAGGAACCCACCAAGATGCCCGAAGTTGGCTCGAAGCTGGCCCAAAAGGGCCCAAGAGGCCCCCAAGAGGGCCTCCAGGAAGGCCAGAAGAGGCCAAAAACATTGATTTTCCAAAGGTTTTGACGGATTGTGACATTTCCTTCTTTTCGGCCCTCCGACGGCCCGAGACGGCCCAAGAGCTCCCAAAGATCGCCAAAAGATCGCCCAAGAGGCCTCCCAGATGGCCCCAGAACGGCGCAAGAGGGCCCCAAGACGGCCCCAAGAGGCCCCCAAGATGGCACAGGAGGCCTTTAAGACGCCCAAGATGGCCTCCAAGACGGCCTTGGAGCATTCCAAGAGGGCCACAAGTCGGCTCAGAGGGGCCCCAAAAACGGCTTCCGACGGCGTCAGACGGACCAGGAGCCCACCAAGACGGCCGAACATGGCCCTAAGATAGCCCAAGACAGCCCAAGAGGGCCCCACGACGGCCCAAGAGGCCCCCAAGATGGCACAGGAGGCCTTTAAGACGCCCAAGATGGCCTCCAAGACGGCTCTGGAGCATTCCAAGAGGGCCACAAGTCGGCTCAGAGAGGCCCCCCAAACGGCTTCCGACGGCGTCAGACGGACCAGGAGCCCACCAACACGGCCGAACATGGCCATGGACGAACATAGCCGAACACGGCCGAACATGGCCAACATGGCCGAACACGGCCGAACATGGCCGAACATGGCCCAAGACGGCCCAATAGGCCTCCAAGAGGGCCCCAAGGAAGGCCCGGAAAGGCAAAAATCATTGATACCCCATCGGTTTTTGAAGGATTGTGGCATTTACGTTTTTTCTGCCTTCTGACGGTCCGAGACGGCCCAAGTGCCCCCAAAGATCGCCCAAGAGGCCCAAGACACGGCCCCAAGAGGCCCCCAAGACGGCCCAAGATGGCCTCCAAGACGGCCCAAAAGCCCTCCAAGACGTCCTGCAAGAAGGCCCGAAAGGGTTAAAATGGCCTCCAGACGGCCAAGAAGACCTTCAAGATGCCCCCGTGTTCCCCGAAGGCTTTCCAAACCGATTCGGGGAACACATGGTCCGATAGCTTGGCAGGTCGGGCCTCAACGTTCGGCCACATAGGCGCTTCCAAAAAGGCAGGGGGCGGCGGTGATTCGCCGTAGGCGTCTTCGATCCGCCGCCCCCTGTTGATTCTTCACCCGGGTGCCTGGCGTGCTGGACCCTCTAGGTTTTGGATTTGGTTCTTTTTCCAAAAGAACTCCCCCTGGGGCTCCGGCACGTCCCGCCCGCCGGCCACCGGGAAGGCCCCCAATTCCCCAATGTTTCGCTCAAGACGGCCCAAGGTGGCCTCCAAGATGGCCTCCAAGATGGCCACGTTGGCCCAAGATAGCCTCCAAGATGGCCTCCAAGTCCGCCCAAGATGATCCAAGATGGCCTCCAAGACGGCCTAAGAGAGTCCAAGACGGCCCAAGAGGCCCCCCAGAGGCCTCCCAGACGGCCCAAGAGACCTCCAAGAGGTCATCCAGGAGGGCCCGAAGAGGCCAAAATCATTGATTTTCCTTAGGTGTTTGAAGAATTTTGGAATTTGCTTCTTCTCGGCATTCCGACGGCTCAAGACGGCCAAAGAGGCCCCCAAGATCGCCCAAGAGGCCTCCAAGAGGGCCCCATGACGGCCCAAGTGGCCTCGAAGACGGCCCCAAGAGGGCCCCAAGACGGCCCAAGATGCCTCCAACACGCCCAAGAGGGCCTCCAAGACGCCCAGGATGGCCTCCAAGACGGCCCCGAAGCGCCCCAAGAGGGCCCCAAGTCGGCCCAAAAAGGCCCCCAAGTCCCACGTGTTCCCCGAAGGCTTTCCAAACCGATTCGGGGAACACATGGTCCGATAGCTTGGCAGGTCTGGCCTCAACGTTCGGCCACATAGGCGCTTCCACAAAGGCAGGGGGCGGCGGTGATTCGCTGTAGGCGTCTTCGATCCGCCGCCCCCTGTCGATTCATCGCAGGGGTGCCTGGCGTGCTGGATCCTTTCGGTTTTGGTTTTGGTTCTTTTTCCCAAAAAACTCTCCCAGTGGGTTTCGGCCCGTCCCGCCGGCCTTCCCCCAAGACCTGCAAGACCCACACGCCATCGCCCAATCCCAATTCTTCCTCCAAGACGGCCCGACATGACCTCCAGGATGGTCACGTTAGCCCAAGATGGCCTCCAAGATGGTCCAAGATGGCCTCCAAGTCCAATCAAGACGGTCCAAGACGGCCTCCGAGACGGCCCAAGAGGGTCCAAGATACATCTAAGTTCGCCCAAGAAGCCTCCAAGACGGCCCAAGACGCCTCCAAGAGGTTCTCCAGGAGGGCCCGAAGAGGCCAAA